GTGTCCAATAATTTGGTGTCGAATCGATCGGTGTCGAATCGTACTGTGGTCAAACGGAACACGCCCGCCCTCAGATCCTGCTCTCAATATTACGAATATTCTTCCAATGATCTTTCCCGCTTTTTCCTCTTGCCCCGTGAACCACAACAATCAATAACAATTTCTTTTAATCAATAATCGACCAATAATAATCGTTTGAATAATAATCGATAATAGATAATCAAGATAATCAACCAATAATAATCAATAATCGAATCAATAATAATCGAGAATCGATAATCAATCAATAATAATCCCCCCTCGCACGGCTCCCCCTCTCGCGCGGTGCCCCCGCACCCCTCTCGGAGCTTCCTGATTAGAACCCGTTTAGCTTACCTACTCGTGACACCGACAGTTTTTAGAAGATCTGCCGGTTGCCACAAGTGCGACACATCGCTGCATTGTCAAAAGGACAACGCTTGCATGTGTCGACATCAGCACCGGCAACTAGCAGGTGCGCCTGCTGAATCGGCGCGATCGATCTACTATAAATCGATTGCGCGATTGAAGCAAGGCAGAGATTGTGATAAGATTGCTAGCTCACTGTGTGGCTTTACAAGCCGGAAAGTGTACCGCCGTAAGAAACAGCCGTGTAAAGAATGTTGTCAAGAGCTTGGTAAAAGAACAGGAGCAATAAAGTTATTATAATAAGTTCAAATATAGAACTTATTCTTCACACCGACCAATCTCTCCTCAACATCCAACAAATTTTAGTGGCAGCGGTGGGATCTCTCCTTCCGTGTGTCAGAAACGGAACTTAACAGAAGATTCCGGTTGGATTGAGGAAAAGGACGCTGGATGAGAAAAAAACAGAAAGAATGGCAAGGTTCTTAAAAAAAGAATTTTATATTTATAAAAAATATAAAAAAGTTAAACAGAGGAGGGTACTCCGTGGATTCTTTGCTCTTGAAACAAACGAAAATAAACGCAGTCATTAAAAAGGTGTCTTACAAACGACGAGGTCAACGAAGAAAGAAAGACTGCGAACTCACAGTCTCGAGTTACACGACAGCACTGACCTAACGCAAGCTAAGCAACGGGCAGTGACACAAGGCGGAGATAAGTAAGCGGCTAAACGGCAATAGAAGAAAGAGTTCGAAGTCCACTACCGAAAACTCCGGAAGCGGCAAGCAGACAAGCAGCTGTGACAAAAAGGCCAGGAAGGGCACCAAGGAAGCAGCAAAGGATAGCCGAAATAGCAGCAAAGGCAGCCAACGCA